ATCATTTTTTCCCTATATTGAAAAAGGTACCGGTACGACGTACCGGTGCGTACAGTCACAAAAAAAGCACTCTCCCTCTCTCTCTCTATATATATATATATATATAGGATAGCAGGTAGGCAGGTAAATAGATTGGATGGATGTATGGATAGACAGAATCATAGAAAATAGAGTGAAAGAGAGATTTATAGATAAATTCATCGACTTATTCATTTATAATATAAATTGATTTGTTGATTGTTTCATTTATTGATTCACTCATCGATTCATTTATTCATTGTTCATATAGAATCCTGTTTATTAAAAAATACATAGTTGTTTGTTTGTTTTTTACGCTAGCTCTTCAGGTCAAGTCTCTGGTCAGGGAAACGACTGCTACTCTTACGATGGACAATTATTACATGAACTTTGTGTCTCATTATATTATCTGGTCATCCTGTGGTAGACTTGAAGAAAAATCTACGAAATATTTTGACATCTTTGTATCTGATTTAACTCCTGGACAAGTATACGCTTTCAAAATCACCTCAACAATGGCTGCAGGCACCTACACTGATCAAATTGTATTGACGTCTTATTTAACAGCAGTTACGTGTAAGTTTGTGTTTGTTCTTGTTTGAGACTCACTGGATAGAATGGTGTACAAAATTGAATGATTGGACGACAGTGTATTCTAGATGGGATCATTACTATCAGAAGCTTTGAGTGACAACATAATCTTTTAACTGCAAAGTTCTATACGAAAAAAAAAAAAGCAACTAACAAGTTGTAATTAATTGTATGTGTTCAGTTTATATTCTTGTATGTGCATTGCACTATAAGTAGATGCAGCATTATTGTTTGCTTTATAGTATCCGCTACGAGTAGTAGTATCATGGAACATATATTTTATATTTTACAGTACCCGCCAGGCCTGGAGGCATTATAACAGAAGAAAGTAACTTAGATAGCCCTCCATATGTTCTAAAGTTTAACTCTTCACAAGGGATTGTACATCATTATAATGTGACGCTTGTATCAGACACTCAAGTGTTGATTTATCAAGTAAAGGAAGCAGAACTCGTGACCTCAGACCTGACACCTGATACTCTCTATAACTACACGATCACGGCCTTCAATAAACTTGGGAATGAGAGTACGACTTTTAGAGGCAATGTCACAACTAGTCCAGGTATACATTTAGTAGTGCCAGTTAATTAAATCATTTAAATTTGTGATAATAATAAATTTTATTCATCATATCGAAAGCTTTACTTTAATTTCTTAACCTATTTTATTTCCATGTTTTTAACCTAGTGTGTGACTATATGATGTTATTGAGTTATTGTGTAAAATTGTTTTTAAAATAGAGCAATTGAGCACATTTAAAAACATTTTGATATAGGTATGCAATTGCATTAATTGCAATAGCAGAAATTAACTCAGTGCTCAACAGCAGAGGGTTACTCTCTAAGCTCATCTAAACGATTTTCGATATTTTAACTAGTTGAAATAAACAATTACATGTGACCAACAGATGTTAATAATCAATTAATTTAATATTTAAGACATTCTATATATTAAATACAGTACCCCTTTCAGACCCTGTGATCTATGGGGTAGATGATGTAAAGGTTATCTTTTTTCTGTGGCCCACCCATGGCCGTTGTGCTGGCCACATGACATCCTCGTTACCCGTCGGACATGGAAACAGTTGACCTTGACATCATCTGTCATATAGATGGCAAGGCCTGAAAGGGGCAACTTTACTTTTTATTTCTTAACAAAACCTAAATGTACAGTATCTGTTCTTCAGATAAATCTGTGTCTGTTGGTGTAGTAGCGGGGATTACAATCAGTGTAGTTGTCCTACTATGTTGTGTTGCTGTTGTTATTGTGGTCTTAGACAAAAAACGAAGAACTCAAATAACTCAGTAAGTACCCAACAAACTTAACTTCAATTCTTAAAGTTAACGCATTGAATCAAGAGCCATCACGATCTTTTTTAAAAGCGATTTGTGTAAAAACTTTAAATACATATTCAATTGTAACTCTACTTATAGATATTCAGGCTTTGCTGAAAATCAGATAGTCATCATAAAGTAATAAATATTGTTACGTTTTGGGCTCAAAACTACTTACAGGCTACTTCGTCGCCATTCTCTCAAAATACAGCCGTCTTCCCAGGACCCGCAATCCATTTTATTCCAACATTAAGGAAAAGAAAACTCGGCAAAGTAAACGTTAACAATCCATAGATTTCACTTTAGATAATCCAATCGATTAGGAATGTGTCTCTAGTCTTTTCCCTTTCAGTTACGTCTCCTTCAAGACAATCAACTACACACTTCGAAACAATCAACTACACACTTCGAAACAATCATCTACACACTTCGAAACAATCAACTACACACTTCGAAACAATCAACTACACACTTTGAAACAATCAACTACACACTTCGAAACAATCAACTACACACTTCGAAACAATCAACTACACACTTCGAAACAATCAACTACACACTTCGAAACAATCAACTACACACTTCGAAACAATCAACTACACACTTCAAGACAATCAACTACACACTTCGAAACAATCAACTTACACACTTTGAAACAATTAACTACACGCTCTAAAGCTTATCTAAGATGAAGAACTGCAAATTTAAAATTTACTAAAAACAAATATTTATTTCCTATTATAAGTTTTGAATTTCAAACAAAATAATGGAATATCGATACTTATTTAACTAATTAATAATCCTGTATTGTTAGGTGCACTTAATAATTGTGTTGGGTTTCCAGTTTATCCGAGAATGGGTGTGGGAGAAATAACGTATTCAAAAAAAAATTTTCAGACAGACATACAGACAGATTAAGTTACTATAGGCTTCGTATAAACGTGAGGTTATACCTCTCTTTCACCTCACCTTCCCCAATCTATTAGTCTGTTGGGGCACCACACACGATTTTTCGACCGTCTTTCTCCATTCCTCTCTGTCTTTTGCTCTGAATAGAACTTCTTTCAATGGCAGACGCGTCCATTCATTCATGTCGTCTTCCCATCAATTTCTCAGTCTGCCTCTTCTTTTTTTCCTGGTACTGTTTCCTGAAGAAAGGTCTTTGCAAACCTTTGCTATATGACAATAGAGAATTATAACACTTGTTAGGTCATCGCTGTAGTAACCCTGTCTCTAATCTCTTCGTTTGTGATGCGGTTTTTATATATGATTCATTCATTTTTAAGCAGCAAATTACAATAGTATACGGGTTGGTGTTCTGACACTTTTATGTTCATTTTTAAATACAGTGCTAACTGTCTGGAGTAAATCACCGTGTGTCTCGAAAGGCTATCAAAATATATAATACATTTTTAATGTTTTAAAAAAACTTTACAAGTCATAAAATGAAAACATTTTCTTTTTTGTTCACAGTTTCTTGCGATTATGCTTAGGAAACATCCTCCGGCAAGAAATGGAGAACAATGAAAGCTTATCTAAAAGCAGAAATAAGAAAGCGACATCTGGTGGCAGACAGCTTAAAAGTGACCCCAAAGGTAAAGTTAGAGTCAGAATACGGCAACTTTAAAAAAAAAAAGGATTTAACAGTTTTATTGTGAATGTACTTCATGCGGTGTCTCAGCGGTAAAGCGCTTTACTTCCGAGGACCCGTGTTCTAATCCTGGTAAAGACTGGGAATTTTAATTTCGGGATCTTTGGGCGATTCTGAGTCCGCCTAGCTCTAATGGATACTTGACATTAGTTGGTTAAAAGTAAAGGCGGTTGGTCGTTGTGCAGGCCACATGTTACATTCGTTAACCGTTGAACACAGAAACAGATGCCCATTTAGAGCTCAAGGTCTGAAAGGGTTAGTAGTAGTAACAAATATTTTAACCCTTTCTTCTCTATAGATAACAAGCATAGCTATGATGTTGTAATTGTTCCATCATCCTCTGACGTCGCAGGCCTGTACAGAGATCTGAACCAGTCAACACCAGTAGAAAACTGCTACGCAAACTCGTCCGCTGTCAAACAATATCTGGACAACTCTCGCTATGAAGATATGTGAAAGACTCTCTCTACAGTATTACCTTTAACCAAGAATATATTTAACATTGTTATATATTTTTTTCAATGTGTATTTACAATGCTTCACATTCTTAAATGTGTCAGTTATATGTAAAAGATGTTTAAAAGGTTCTTTAAAATTATTACTGTAGGCAATTAACCAGTTCTACAAAGGTACTTTCTATAATGTACATATAAATATATGTACTAAACACTACCAAGCTTATATCAACTTTTTGTGTCTGTCTAGTACAAATCGTATATCAACTCTTTGTGTCTCTCTAGTACAAATCTTTTATCAACTCTTTGTGTCTGTCAAGTACAAATCTTTTATCTACTCTTTGTGTCTCTCTAGTACAAATCTTTTATCAACTCTTTGTGTCTGTCAAGTACAAATCTTTTATCTACTCTTTGTGTCTCTCTAGTACAAATCTTTTATCAACTCTTTGTGTCTGTCAAGTACAAATCTTTTATCAACTCTTTGTGTCTGTCAAGTACAAATCTTTTATCAACTCTTTGTGTCTGTCAAGTACAAATCTTTTTTTTTTAACTTTTTGTGTCTGTCAAGTACAAGTCTTTTATCAACTCTTGTATCTGTCTAGTACAAATCTTTTATCAACTCTTTGTGTCTGTCTAGTACAAATCTTTTATCAACTCTTGTATCTGTCTAGTACAAATCTTTTATCAACTCTTTGTGTCTGTCTAGTACAAATCTTTTATCAACTCTTGCATCTGTCTAGTACAAATCTTTTATCAACTCTTTGTGTCTGTCTAGTACAAATCTTTTATCAGCTCTTGTATCTGTCCTGTCTAGTACAAATCTTTTATCAACTCTTTGTGTCTGTCAAGTACAAATCTTTTATCAACTCTTTGTGTCTGTCTAGTACAAATCTTTTATCAACTCTTGTATCTGTCTAGTACAAATCTTTTATCAACTCTTTGTGTCTGTCTAGTACAAATCTTTTATCAACTCTTTTATCTGTCTAGTATAAATCTTTTATCGACTTTTTGTGTCTGTCAAGTACAAATCTTTTATCAACTCTTGTATCTGTCTAGTACAAATCATATATCAACTTTTGGTGTCTGTCTGGTATAAATTTGTTACACGCTAGTTTCCCCACTTGCCATTATTGGATTGAGTTGAAATTTATTGTTCTAATATAACATTGTTGTAACTCAGCTCCCGAGACACACCGGTGGTGCGCATCAGAGCGCCATTCAACACAAGTAGTGAAAGGCATGTTAATACAGGAAGAAGGACTTGTTGATACAGCAGGAATTATGTGAGTCTGAACAGTCTGGGACTAAGTGCTGTCCTGTGGGATATAAGTGAGCTGTTCGGAAGACATGGAACGACACTGGGAAGTGTGTCGGTGGTCTGTTCTGATGTTCTGGTATTAATTAGGACTCTTAGAACATAAGACATTACTCCCTGTGCCTTGATAGCGGAAGTCCAAGTCTAACTATTTGTTGATAGCTTAAAATAAATACATCGTCTATTATTACCTCCTGACTTTGAGTTGAGTTGTCTGCCTTAGAGTTACAATAATATGAGGCAATGAAAAAATAAACCAATTAATTAATCATATTAACTAATTTTTTTATTTTGGTACTGATTAAGGGAAATAAAGCTTACAGTATTGATAAATATATGGCTATAAACACACATGCTTTGTTGTTTTATTTCAAAGATTTGTTTTATATCTAGCTTGTTTTATATCACAATTTTTTTAGTTTTTCGTATAAGCTATTTCTCGCTATGGCTCGGGTGAACTAGCGATTTGTTGTGTAATGGAGTGTGAGTGTGTGTGTACCTATGGTAACGGTGAGAAGAAGTTAGCGATTGGTTGGTGGCTATGCAATGGGAATGATGCAAGATAAGCGGCACTGTCGTAAGCTTTCTTGGGCTGGCCGGACGACTCTAGAATGCCCGAGTGAAAAGACGTGTTTTAGTAGCGAGTTAGATTTTGTTCCAAATATCATTCTATAATAATACTTAAGTATTGTTCACAAAAAAGTTATTCCACGTTTTACAAGATAAAATATAATACGCCTAAATCGGTTTAGTTTTCTACCAGCAGTTTGGTGCTACAAAGTCTACAACCATTAACAGCATGTGAGGTGTGGTTCAACTTTTTAAGAAGACAGCGACCTAGCTTTTAATGAGAACTCGCACAATATATTTAATATCTTTTATACGTTTCTTGATAGATCCACATGGAGAGAGCGAGCATAAAGGAAGGGTCCTGGATTGCAGATGCCATACTCAACAGTAGTAGAAAGAAAGGTGAAAATGCAACGGCGCCTGGTGATTATAGATTCTGTGACCGCAGCTGTGTATCAAGGATTGGCCTCTTTAGTCACACAAGAAGTTGCAAAGGGAAAAGATTGTCTCTCGAGGAGTACAATGCCACAGACTTTTCTGATATTTCTTCAAAATGGAATATTATTATATATCCTAGCCCCCACCTCTCAAGGGACGACGAGGGATGGCAAGGGGGACAGGGTTTGAACCTTGGATCATCAAGTTAGCATGCCAAATCGCAATCCGCACAATAATGCAGATTACTTGATAAGATAAAAAATGTCATTTGGTTCCTCCCGGCCCAAATCTAGAAATCAAAAGTTGAATCAGGATTACGAGAAGTAAAGAAATAAATTATCCCTATAAAATAGAAAGAGGTGATACAATCAGATTCAGCACCCCTTCTTTCTCCAAATCTTCTATCGCAAAGTCAGGGGCGTAGCTAGGAATTTTCCATCATTTTGGGAGCCCGGGGCTTGACCTATTTTGGGGCACATGCATTTTGCGTAATATTTAATATTTAATGTAAAAAACACACATTTGGGGGCCTCCCTCAAGTTTGGGCACGGGGGGATTTTCAAATTCCCCCCTCCTCTCCCCACCCTAGAGACGCCAAAGCCGTAAAGTGAAAACAAGAAAAACATTTTTTTTTTAAATGGCAATACTTCCTTTATAAAACTTATAGAGCGGTTGTTTGTTTGTTTTGTTTTACATATTTCGAATGTTCCTTCAAAGTTGAAGATAGTTTACTTCCTAGTCCAAACCTCCCGCAGGACGACGGGGGATGGGAGCGGGCAGGGTTTGAACCCTCGACCGTCGATAAATCCAAACGGCAGTCCAGCGCGCAAACCGCACGACCAGGCAGCCATCTTTCCCTTGATAAACTAATGAAAGTTAGATTTTTAAAAAAACGGGAACATATTTATCCCCCCCTCCCCGAGAAAGAGTCCTGGTCAATTGAATGTGTTGATCTACTATACTTTATAATATTCCAATGATATTAATAATGCCTTACATTCAGAAATTCCCTGACGCGATGTTCCTTTCAAGAACGCGATAATCCTTTCAAAACCGATGTTGAATCTAGATCTAAACCACATAGTCTCTAGACAAATTTAAATAATTTTTTTTTCTTACTTTGAACAATTTCAACGTTCAAACTCAAGTTTTCCCCATGAGGCCAACGAGCTAGTAATTCTGTTCTCAGCGATATACATCAACTGTTAAATTTCTAGTTTGACATCCGTATCCAGGTTCCAACAAGACTCTTCCATGAAATGATGACCTGAATAGTGCTGTGTAAAAGAAAAAAAAAAGTTTTGGGTGTTGTGCTGGTCACAGGGAATCGTCTGCGAAGCAGGCGTGTTTTTTTTTGTTGTTTTTTTGGTCACGACATTGCGAAGTGAATAGTTCCGTGAAAAGCAGGGCTCGGTCTGTCTTTTTGAAAAAAATGTTCCCAGCATGTCATATTCAAAGAAGTTTTCTTTTAACTACTGTCCTAAAATATACTGCAATGAATGCAGGGAATAGTTTATACAGATTCAGAAGCATCGGACCACTGGATAAAAACGTTTTAAGTCAGTTAACAAACAAACAAAACACAATTTATCTCTAATTACACATCAAGGATATTAGAAGTGCGTAGTCCATGGCAGAACAAGCTCCGTGACAAAGTTTTATAAATACTTAAAAATATAAAAAGAATGAGGAGAATGATCAGTTACGTTTATATTAGACTTACGGGATCTGTACTGTGAGAGCTACCAAAGTTCTCAACTTGTACCTTGAGACAATCGCAAAACGTACCTTATCTTAAAAAAATTACAGACGTTTTTTATTAACACTGGTACTACACATACTCAGGGCTGGATTTAAGAGTGGCCAGGCGGGGCTACACAAAAGAGATAAAAATATATCCAATAGTCGATGGGTCAGGAACATTTATGTTTTTCTTTTTATGAGATTTTTTTTTCTCATTTTTACGGTTGGCAAAAATGTCGTGATTAAGAAGTGTCCGCTTGCAACATGCTCGGAATAAATAAATACAGCTCTGCTTACCAAGGACCCTAACCCTTAACACACTCAAAAATATGCACGTTTAAAACCAAAACTTGTATTAAATATTGTTCCCTTTCAGACCTTGCTATCTATGGGGCAGATGATGTCAAAGTCATCTGTTTCTATGGCCAACGGTTAACGAGCAGGGTGTCATGTGGCCAGCACAACGATCAACCGCCTTTACGTTCTCCAACTATAGTCAGGTTTCCATTAGAGTTGGATGGACTAATGGGCGCCCTAAAAATCCCAAAATTCAAAATCCTTTTTTTAAAAGGAATGTGAGATTAAATTTGCAAGAGCTCTATATGTTATTATTATTATTATATTATGAGGGAGTATGGTGCGAATGTATATTTTTGAATCAATAGTTATAATGTTTTGTTTGGTGTAATGTACAAATTGTAAGACAAATTTCCTTATGGACAATAAAGATTATTATCATTGTAACTTCTTTATTCTAAAATATAATATGATCTTAGATATAAACATTCATAAGTGGAACTTTATTAAATCTTTCAAAAAATTGTATGGGCTAGCCCTGGAGCACCCACATATTTAAATCCGGCCCTGCACATACTTAAGAAAGCTTATATCTCTGTAACACAATTTAATGCTGGTGTAACACTTCAGACTGTTTACATCGGTATTGGGAAAATGAACAGGCTGAGACCAGACAGTAAACAGCTTCCTGGTAACAGAAGTGAGTCTTAATAACACTTGTGAGCTGTACTGATACATACTTTGATACACACTCTGGTAAACTTCTACAATAAAGGACTCAAAATGACTTTTCGTTTAACTTTTATAATGTTATTGAATGTCAAGGTAAATAAGAAAGAAATATATTTTTTTATTTTGTGGGTTATTTTAAATTTTGGTTTCAATTAAATGTGGTGAGTTTAACTTTAATTATCTAAATGTGTATTCTGCCTTTCTAAATGTGTAATCTACCTTTCTAAACGTGTATTCTGCCTATCTTAATGTGTATTCTGCCTATCTAAATGTGCATTTTGCCTGTCTAAATGTGTATTCTGTCTATCAAAATGTGTATTCTGCTTATCTAAATGTGAATTCTGCCTATCTAAATGTGTATTCTGACTATCTAAATGTGTATTCTGCCTTTCTAAATGTGTATTCTGCCTTTCTAAATGTGTTTTCTGCCTATCTAAATGTGTATTCTGCCTTTCTAAACGTGTTTTCTGCCTATCTAAATGTGTATTCTGCCTTTCTAAACGTGTTTTCTGCCTATCTGAATGTGTATTCTGCCTATCTGCGTGTCTTTCAAAGTAAAGTTCCCCTTAGAGATCTTGCGATCTATGGGGCAGATGATGTAAAGGTCATCTGTTAGTTTGGCCGACGGTTAACAACGGTGTCATGTGCCAGCAAAAACGACCGACCGCTTTAACTTTCCTCAACTAATGTCAGGTAACCATTTGAGTTGGATCGATTCAGCGGCGACCTAAAATCCCGAAACTCAAAATCCCAAGCTACACCGAGATTCGAGCCTTCGACCCCTCCGTTGTGAAGTTAAGCTATTTACCACTCAGCCACCACACTCCCATCTATATGTATTTATTTTATTCCTTTTTTTTTATGTTGTACCTCACAGCCTTAAAAAAAAAGTTTAGAACCTGATAATAAGGCAATGGCTTCACGTGAGTACGTTGACCCTTTTGCGTCCTGCATATTTTGCCATTACTAACGCAGACAAGCTTTGTCTGGTGCCAGTACCAAAAAAACAAAAATAGATAGCTTAAATGATTTCCGCCCAGTAACATTAAGACATATAGTTATAAAGGCGCAACAGTTTAGATGAACCGTTGCCTTGCCAACAAGTTATTCCATATGTTAGCAGATTTTGCATTGTCGCACAGTAAAAATATCTAAGATTTTCGTATGTAGGTTAAGGGTTGTCAATAATGACTCCCAGATATTTGTTCACTTCTATCGGTATATTGTTTATCTGTAGTTCATGTATCGAACTTAGATAGGTACTGAGTTTCGTCTCCAGAAATAAAAATGAAATGTTTTGAAAAATATTTGCTTAAACAGCTTGTAGCAAAAGTCAATAACAGCCTAGACCCTCACCAATTTGCATATAAAGCATCTAGGGGATCTGAGGATGCCATTCTATTGCTTTTGGACTAGCTTTATAAGCATCTCGATACACCCAAAACAGATGCACGAGTGCTCATCGTAGATTTCTCCTTGGCTTTCAATACCATACGGTCAAATCTAATGACCAACAAACTGAAATAGTCCATACGTACAAGCATGGGTTCTAAACTTTTTAGCATAAACTC